AGGAGATGAACACTCAGCTGTAGCAAGCACTTGCCAAAACACCATTCAATTTCCTGCCTCTAGAGCACATCTCAAAGCACAGGGATCACAAGGACTTCCACCCCTTCCTCCTGGGAGCTTTGTAGATAGGAATTGAAAAAATAAAGCAGGCGGTAGTTTCTGTTTTCATTATATTCTGCATGAGCAGAACCTTTTCGGCTTGCTCCATATAGAATTCAACTTCTGTAACTCACCAGTGGCTTCATAAATGCTTGCTGACCTTCTGGACCTACAGAGTTAGAACTGGCAAGGACAATGTAGGAAAGCACAAAGTATATGTATATTTCCTACCAAATATGCTTAATTGGAACATCTCCATCCAGCACCCTGTTTCATCTAATTCAAAAACAGTACAGTCTGAGCAGTGGTAATGGAGACTCATTAAGTTCCATTAGCTGCAGACACATCAAATGGATACAATAGAAGCCAGCCACTATTCACGGCAACAGGTAGCGCGCTACAATAGAACCCTGTTAGACAAATAACCTGGTGGCCTGAAATCAGCCCTCTTGCTTTTTACAGGTACTCATTTTCTAAAACGCAATGTCCTGGGAAGCATGTTTTAATTATATTCCTAGACCACCAACTACTTTAATTCAACCTAGCTTTTCAGTCATTCTCACATATAAAACAAATTCTTACTATTTCAGTTTCCTCTGTGCAAGTTCTGGCTGGAAGAAAGACAGGCATGATGACTGTTTTACCGTGAGCCTTTAGACAAGATTCTTTAAAATGAACAATAAGGACCATAATTACAATCAGCCTGACGATCCCATCCATTGAGGGCTCACTGCGTGCCACGCATTTCACTAAGGTTCTACATGTTCTATTTTCTCTCACAACATAACAACTCTGTAAAGTCAGCATGACTATCGTCCTCTTCATAAAAAGGGGTTAGGTCACATATCCAATGTCAGATGGCTGGGCATCAGAGCCAGACAGTCTGACATCAATGACACCTACCACTGCAGCCAGTCACTGGGGATCAAGGCAAGTTTCTCTGAGAATCTTAGAGCCTCATGAAAAACAAGTGCCCAGAGCCACTCACAGATTTTCCTCAATAGGCCTCAGTCAGATCTAGTAGAACTTGTTGAGTTGGAACTGCACAGTTGAGTCACCAAGCACATGATGCTGAAGCTTTTACGTGTTTTAGAAACATCATTTCCCAAATACAATGTACCCAGCATGCTTGACATAAAAAGAGACCCACAGGCACCTTACTCCAAAGACCAGAGGGAGGAGAGCACACCAGCGCTGGCGAGATCAAAGTAGTAGCAGATGCTCTACATAAAGAGAGCAAGCTGCCAGGCCTCAATGCTTTCCTTCTATCCACGTCATGAGTCATTCCATCTAGAAGGTAGATTACGGTCCTTGGACATAGACAAACATGCAATGGCTTCCAAGATCTCTTTACACTGCCTTTTTCCAATCCCTGTTCAGTTACCTCCCTTCCACATTTCAGTTTTTGAGCTCCCTCAAAAAGACCTCAACAAGGATGGCAATACAAAATCAGTACCACTGAGACCATTGTAGTAAGAAAATACATTAAGTGGAAGTTTAATTAGAACTTCAAAACCAAGTTCGAAGCCCCTTGGAAGTATCCACATGCTTCAAAAGCCATATAATCATTTAATGTCTACCTTCGCCTCGAATCCAAGAGAAATGAAGTGGTGCATGAGCGTTAGGGTGCTTGAGCTCGCATCACGTCTTCACTGAACTGCTTGTTAGTGCCTGACTCTAGGATTCTCACTCTGCAATCCCTTGGCTTCTGATTACTCCCTTCTCCAGACCCTTCTTGTATGCCCTGGACCTCATTTTCCCATTCTTCTTCATGAGTTAGTTCCTCTTTTTCCACCCATTTTACAAATGGCAACCCCTCACTGTCTTCATTCCACTTCATTTCTTGTCATATTATTTCCCACAGTTGGCAGCTGACTCCCACAAACTCTCCTAATAAACGGGCATGTCTTTGTCCAGGTCCACACTGTCCCTGAGCTGGACATCTGAGACTAACCGTGCCACATTTATCTCAAGATCCACAAATACAAACCCTATTGCTTTCCCTCATACCTTTGTATGCTCTATCTCCTGGCAATGTCACTTGTTTCCTGGTGGCTCCACACAAGTCCAAGAGGCGTGCTGAGCTCTACCCTACTATACCTCATGAACTGTCCTTTCTAAGTACGCATTCCCTTTGCTCCATCTCACAGTCACAACCTGAGCTATGAACCTTCTTTTGCCTGGAATCACTGGTCCCCGTCTGGCCCCTCAAATTCACACTGTAGTCAAAGAAATCTACCCAAAAGATAAGCCTGTCCATATCAAAGACTCCTTATACTCCTTCCTTGGCTAACGAGAGTAAAGGGCTGTGCTGACCTTATATTGTTTATCTCCCTCAAGGTCTAGAAGGGAATTCGTGATGTTTGTCTTCATTCAACTTCACAGGATTTAGAATCAGCATGAAAGCACACCTCTGAGTTTATCTCTGAGGATGTTTCCAGAGTGGTAGAAAGACCCATGCTGAATATGGGTGGCACCTTCCCATGGACCAGGGTCCTAGACTGAACAAAAAGGAGAAAGCTAGTTAATGCTAGCATTCCTCCCCTTCTCTCCGTTTCCTGACTGTGGATTCCATGTGGCCAGTTGCCTCAGTTTCCTGTTGCCATGCCTTCCCTTCTATGATGGACTGTTCCCTCAAACTGCAATCCAGGATAAATCCTTCCTCTCTTAAGTTGCTTCTTGTCAGATATTTTTTTCACAGTGATAAGTAACTAATACAGTATTTTTAAAGGGATTTTACTCCCAGTGTTAACAATCTATTTTTTCCAAGGAAGTTTCACTATATCTTTCTGTCAGCCCTGTGCCACACAGCTTGCCTCTATTATTTTGGTTAATCCTCACAACACTGAGATTGGTATATGCTCACATCTATTTCACAAATAAGAAAACTAAAGTTCAAATCAGTTCAGCAAATGTTGCCAAGAGCACCCAGCTGAAGGGGCAGAAACAGAACTTCACCCCAACTATGCAAGCTCCTACAGGAGCACACAGGTCACACAAAACCCAGAGCCTGCTGGCCCACACTGCTGGATGAGCACAGCTGTCAAGGGGTCAGAACATGTTTGAAAGCAAAGAGAAAGCTGGCCTGGAGATACTATTTAGATAAATAAAATTTTATGGGTCCAAAAACCATCATTTGATAGTCAACATTTTCTCAATATTAAATTCGACCTGAAATTCAACCAGCTACATAAACACATATTTAATATATATGCTATCAACAGAAAAGTATAGAACAATATAATCATGGCTATGCCTATGTAAGCCATGTATAAAATTCTTAATGTAAGTCCATTCTAAATGAAGTTGTATTTAACAACTCACATCCATTTATCTGACATTTGGACATCAGAAAAACACACATACATAACTAGGTCTAACATTCTATAGTCGGTCTTATGTATATTCAAAGATGAAGGAAGGTATTTAACTTGTGTCAATTTTTTTCAACTTACAAAAGCAATCCTGTTTTCAGAAGTCTGTGCAATCAGGGGCACTCTTCCACATTCTAACACTATGGCACACGTGCACAGATACTATAATGACACATCCAATAGGTTTTGATCCCACCAGTTTCCTAATACATTCCCTTTCTCTGACACATCTCTCCTCTTTGCTCAAACCTCTGAATGGCCTCCCTAAACCATGTCTCTTCCTGGAAGTCGCAGGAACCACAAGTCCCCTCAGCCGATGACTTTGTCTCAGCACCTGTGTGCTTACTGCTCTACCTCCATTAGCTTGCCTACTGCCCATATCCTCTCCTGCTTTCTTGGGTTAAAACCTAGGCAGGCCATTTCCAGAGCCACACAAATACACGTTGTCATCTCATATACAAGAAAAGCAGCTTACCAAGTCCCCATGTCCCATCTTGTTTTCCTTCACAGTTAAACTTCTCACCTAAGCTGTCTACTGTTCCTGGCTGTCTTTCCTGCTCTCTCTTCACTGCAATGAAGCGTCCTCCAGCTCTGCCACCAGCAAATGCTGGTCAAGACCTGCTACAGAAATCCAGAGCCTCTGCTAGCAGCTGCCCTCTTGCTCTGGGGCCTGTGGTTGCTGCTGAAACAGCCAACACACTGCCTCCAGTGGCTGCAGGTGCCACTCCTTCGCCAGATGCATCACTCTACCACGTGGCCCTGTCTGGCCAGCTCCTTCACTTCCTAAAGGCCACTCCTCCTCAAACTCCTCACAGTGACCTTCCTGGACCAGGCTACATAAACCAGGACAACCCAACCCCCACACTGCAAGGTCTCCCTCCCATCACCATCTTTTCTTTTCCTTTAAACTACTTCATTTTCTTCATAGCTTTTAAGTGTTTTTAATTTTTATTTATTTTTATTTTATGTGTATGAATTTTCTGCCTACTTACATGTATGTATACCAGGTGTAAGCAGTGCCCAAGGAGTCCAGAAGAGAGCACTGGATCCACGAGAATCAGAGTTACAGACAGCTGTGAGCTGCCATGTGGGTGCTAGGAGCTGAACCTGGGTCCTCTGCAAGAGCAGTCAGTATTCTTAACCCCTGAGCCGTTGCTCCAGCCCCAATTCTTCATAGCCTTTTTACTGACTAGCATAAACTTGCATGCTTCCTCTGTCTGCTTCTTTCATTATCTTATGCTGTCTACTTCATTTCCTTAAACCCTTCCACAAGCAAACACTAAAATTTAAGTCCATAAGACAGGGTCTCTCGTCTCCTAGCCCCCCCAATCCCTAGTAACAAGGCGACTGTCTGGAAGACAGTATGTGCAGTAAGTATGCACTGATAGCACAAATCATATTGACGATAAATGACGTAAACTCTGGTGAACTCAAACCTCTGGGTTTGAAGGTGGATCTCTTTACTCTTTTAGATACCTTAGCACACTCATGATTTAGCATCAGTGTGGGAATAACAAGCTGCTTTACCTTTCTGACGTCACTCGGATTTGTTCCTCAGAGCTACAATCCAGACCTTCCATCTTCTCATGGAAATATTTCTCCACACACTGCTCCTCGAAATCATGAAGCTTTTTCAGATCTTCCTTACTTAGGTACAGTTCTGTGGAGGAAAGCATCATAAAGAACCATTCTTCACTCTTAATAGAAAACTGTACAAACTGTGCTGTGGTTTAGATGTGGATTGTGAAATCTGGTGCTCATTGTGGTGATACCGAGGTGGTAAATGCTAGGTGGTGACTAGCTCGTGGGAACCACCTCTGGAAGAGATGATGTAGTCCTCCCAGGGCTGGTCACGTCGAGTCAGCCACTTCTAGATCTCTTGCTTTCTTGCTTCCCATCTCTCCATGGAATGTTCTTCATTCCTCCCTCCTCCCTTCCCCCTCTCATCACCCATCTACTCGTCTCTCCCTTCTCCTTCTCCCTTCCTCTCTTCCAGCCCCACTTCATATATTCGCATCACATGAAGCTGCCCACCGTGTTATGATATGACTAGAAGATCATCATCACAGACTGACCAGATGGAGACACACAATCTTGACTCTCAGCCTCCAGAACTGGGAGCTAAATACAGTACATCCTTGAATAATGGAGTCACAGGCACTGATTTATGTGCTGCGTATAACCTTCAGTTTCTAAATATCAAACGACTCTTGGCCAAATGCCTTACCAGTAATGTAGCTGACTAACACGTATTGTGCTGGGTTTTGTCAACTTGATACTAAATCGTCGCAGAGGAAAGAGAACTCTGTTAAGGAATTTCCTCTACCACACTGGTCTGTGGTCCTGTCTGTGGGGTATTTCCTTGATTTCTGGTTGATGCGGAAGGGCCCAGCTCATTGTGGACAGTGCTGTTCCTGGGTAGGTGGCCTGGGCAGCTACATAAGCAAAGTAGCTGAGCATGCCAGTAAGTATCGCTCCTCCACGGCCTCTGCTGCAGGTCATGCCTCCAGGTTTCTACCCTCCTGAATGTCTTGCTCCAGCTTCCCTCAGTGATGAACTATAGTCAGGAGCTGTAAGCAGAATCCAACCTTTCCTCTCCAAGATGGTTTTGGCCAGTGTTTTGGGGGGTTTTTCTTTGGTTGTTTGGTTTGGTTTTGGGTTTTGGAGGGTTTTGGGTTTTGTTTTGGGTTTTTTTTGGGGGGGTTGTTTGTTTTTGTGGGGAGGGGGGTGTTTGTTTTTGTTTTTGTCCTGAATGTCTTGCTCCAGCGTCCCTCAGTGATGAACTATAGTCAGGAGCTGTAAGCAGAATCCAACCTTTCCTCTCCAAGATGGTTTTGGCCAGTGTTTTGGGGGGTTTTTCTTTGGTTGTTTGGTTTGGTTTTGGGTTTTGGAGGGTTTTGGGTTTTG